GTTAAACGTATGGCGCCAGTGGAAGGGCGTCATATATTTCGTATTACTCCTCTATGTGACTTCATGTTGGTTTCAAGTATTTAACACAGGCCTGTTCTTTCCAAGTGACGATGAAGTTCCGGAGACGAGTACCATGTGTGGTCGTTATTGGTGTGTGTATTGTGCTTGGGTATCAGACCTGTGTCTATTGGCTGAATTGTTGCAGGAGGACTGGCATCAAAGACATGACACGTGCCTCGTTTCTACGTAACAGGATAAGGGGTCATTCACCAAGCTTCAAAGGTCTACTTGAAAGGGCAAAGCCGACGGAACCACATACATTTCTCCAGACATTGCCAATAATTGACATTGGTCGTGGAAGCGAAAGGTTTCTGAAAACTGGTGTGCATAATCAGCGTGTTAATAGCGACTTGTTGATGAGAAATCTGAAACATTTTATGGATCAAGTGGAGAGGCGGAATCTCACGCTACCCTCTGCCCACGGCGGATCTGGAGTTTCTGTCCTCAAGGTTGGATATGTCAGGGGATAAGTGGTTTTTTTAGGAGTGATGAGTTGGCAATATTCCAACAATATCACGGCGGGGGACACCAGAAATGGGCTTCACACATGTGGGGAATCTAACCCGGGACTTCGGCGTGACGAGCGAACAATTTAACCACTAGGCTAACCCACAGCCCCCTTTTAGGGATGGATGGGGCGGAGTATATATTTAGGGGTGGATGAGGTGGGTCTGGTGGAGTATTCGTCACCACTCGCCCCTTTCCGTAACCTCCAAGAAGCCTCGTCCCCTCTCGATGCTTGCTATGTGCGAATATACGACAAACCAATCAGAACGCGCGTAATGGTTGCCGTGCTTTGATAAAAATAATCCCGACTACTCAAATCGTTTATGGAATTATGTTATTGTTTAAAAATCATGAAAAATATCTGTCGTCATATTGAAAGTACTAAGAACGTAGCTAACAGATATTGTGCTGTCTAATGTGAAGTTTTTGATAAGAATCATGCGATTGACGGTGAGAGATTCAAATACACGCACGTGCGTTTGTTGACATAACGGCTCTCACTGGTCCAACTGAGTGTATTTCTGACGATCTTGCGGGCTTGACGTGGTGATTGTACGTGCGCTTCCAACAGTGTTAGGAAATGTAATTATCAATCGCTACGAGTTTCAAAACAATGATATTATATCTCTATGTAACTAATCAATATAATCTTTAATATTAGGCATATATTTCACATCTCTGGAAATATTTTCCTCTGGCTTTTTTTGGTCATTCATATATTTTTCAGCGAATTCACTCAAAATTCCACCTGGGGTATGAAAGCAATGTTACACGTGTGTAGTCATTTTTGAGTTTCTGCATTGGGATATAATGCAGCTGTGTATTTTTACAAAATCTATTTGCATATTCAATAAAACAAATCCCATTTGTGATTATTAAACCCTTTTCAGAAATATAATTGGAAATATAAGGTGAACATCTGGTAATAATTACGTCAGAATATGTCTTTAAGAAATATGTTTTTCTCCTTCTTTTACTTGTATCAAGGGGTTTAATTCTTTAAAATAAATAAGCAAAAACAAAAACAGCAATACAATGTATGAGTACTTCGGTGATATTAAGTACCATTGGAATCAAACAGGAATAGAGTTATCGTTCCTATTTGAAGTAGTTCTGATGTTCATACGCCAATATGAAATCCTTCCAGAGATATTTCTTGACCAACATAAAGGTCTGCTACAGCACTATTTACATACTCTAATCTACACTTTCATAACAATTTAGTCAAAGCGCTATGATATTTTACATTTACAACATTAATTCATGATAAACTTTGAAACTTCATTTATTATACATTTCAAACCAGAGACCGTATAATAATCCTATCATATGGTTACCATTCAAACTTGTATTCGTTCTACATTTTAAAATTTAGGCATTATGCATTTCAAACTTTTATTCATGGTACCATTCAAGCATTCATTCATTAGTTTCAATCGCCAGTTGGTGAATGAACAATCAACCAATTAATGCAATAAGTGTTTGTGATTTTACACCTCAACTGGTGTTGAATGTCAGACGTTGCATTGGTCACGAATGTTTTGCAAACATCGTATGTTATCGATATATGGCCCAACGTTTATTATACAGACTGAACTTTAAAACGGATTTCCAATTAAAACAGTTTTGTCGCTTTTATCAGTATTTATAAAGTGATATATTTTTCAGCTTTCGACAGAGATATGCCTATTATTCCCATTTATCATTTCATTATAATATCTTAAGCCTTTATCAATACTGATAGCAGACTCTACATCCTAGGGTGTACACTTAACCTCCATGTTGGATATTCACTTATTCACTTTTACCATGGTAAAGTTTACATTCGAATTCTTCTTCTAATCTCCATTGGGGCGATGGAGTAGCCTACTTATTAAAGCGGAAGACCCGGGTTCGATTCCCCACATGGGTACAATGTGTGAAGCCCATTTCTTGTGTTCCCCGCTGTGATATGTTATTCCACAATGTGTCCAAATATATACATAATAATTATTATTTATACATATCCAGTAAATAATTAAAACAACTCTTTTTTATCAGGATGATTTGATCGAAGAGAACAGGAAGTTTCCAAGGGGACGCAACATACATCTTGAACAGAGCATATACAAATGGCAACCTGCTCGCAGATCATATCAAGGCCAGTTCCTGGACATTGATGACGACATGTTTTCCTATTCAGCAATATTTGAAAAAAGAGATACAACATTCATACGAGTGTTAATCATTCTGCCACGACATATCAGTTCCGTCGCTCATTTCCGGTGTATTCTCAGAAGGTCGAAGTCAGACTGGGGTCAGCTGGTACCAGCAACTTTTCAGCAGATCCCAAATAATGACTTGCGTTTACATCTGTGAGTGCAATCCTTTCTCTTCCCAAAAATAAGTATGTTGCTAAATTACACCCAAAACGGTTGCTTTAGAAGCCATAAAATAACGTAACAAATTAGAGGTGAGGGAGGTGAAATTGGGTTTAACGTCGTGCTTGAGAATATTTCGCTCATATGACGACGTGCATGCGTGTGTATGTGTATGTGTATGTGTATGTGCGGCTGCTTGTACTAGCCCAGACTTAAGCTGGTTTTATAGTGCTAGCCCACTGAGATACCATGCCGCAGTGAAGCATGGATACCCCACTCAGACACATTATACTGACTCCGAGCCCACCAGTCCTTGTTGTACCCATTAATGCCGAGCGCCAGGCAGGGACCAACAAGTACCATATTTTAACGTCTTTTGGTATGACGCGGTCGGGGATCGAACCCGCGACCTTCCGCTCTCCGGGCGGACGCTCTAACTACTACACCACGGAGGTGGTCGTAACAAATTAGATGAGAACCGTCATAATATATTTCATTGTCGTCAAAATGACATGTAAGTAATGTAAACATGAGTTGCGCTTGAAGAAGCATGGATTCCTATAAAAACGTCCAGACGTACATGTGAATAAGGGAAACTTCATTTTTAATTTATGATTGAACAATTTAGGAGTTATACTGGAGTAAGTCAATGTTGATATGATAATAATGAATTTTTTGAGAGAGCATCACCACTTGCACTTCCTTATGACCATAATTGTTTGTACAGTAATCGCTATTGAAAGATGATTGGTGTATGACGTGAATTTTGCATGTGTACGATGTTCATATTCAACAAAAAACCAACGTCTTGAAACAAACACTAACAACTGTGTGATGCAAGATGATTGTCAAAATTAATGGTCTACAGTGATTTATCGACCTTCTTGAAAACCGTCAAAATCAAGAATCACACCCCATGCACGTGTATGGGGCTACTGCGTTGTGCACGTGCATCCCATGCGTTGTGATAAATGGGTGGTGACGATGTGAAATGGTGGTGAGTTCATAAGATGTCTGTAGTTGAAACGTTTGTTAACGCTTATACTTCTTATCCAATTTGAAAATTCAGGTTCCCCTACATTTCTTTAGAGCATAGTAAGAAACAAGCTGATGGTTTCACTTAAGCGTCAAATAGACATGCCTATCCCCGTAACGATTTCTTGTCAGGTTAAATTGGACGTACCGCTCACATAGTGCTCACTTGAAACTCCAATTCAGAATCGTATGTGTTTGTTGGTTATATTGACGATAGGTATTCAGTTGCAAACGGGTTAATACAGGCCAAGTTCAATACAAGCAGATCTGATATTCCCCTTGAGTGGGGAGGATGATTCTTTGTGAAATTGAACGAATTCTCTCGGCTTTTTGTTAAAGAGAAGGAATGAATATTGCTTTAGGCCGCATCAACTGGTATCAGTAGTCCATTCAGAGAAAATATATTTTGTGCCTTGAATGAAATTCACACACACACACACACACACACACACACACACACACACACACACACACACACACACACACACACACACATATGTTTTTCTCAGAATGGACTACCGGTAACCGTGTAGTTATTGGAATAGTAATTTCTTTTGAATTTTCTTTGTTTTCCATCAGTGCCAATAAACTGTGAATTCTCTGAGCACTATCAAACAGTCTGTTCATTTTCGCGAAAACACAAACTTTTTATGTCAAATAGATGCTCCTAAAGAGGCGAATAAATAATTATTCAACCAGCTGAGGTCTTTCATGAAAATATAGATTATGGATCAAGAGTGAGTCTAGATAAACCGCTGAACAATATTTCAGTTTGAATGACAATTTATGGGCAGCTATCTGACTTCTTCAGTGACATGTATGTATTATTAGCATCCTAAACATTAAATTAATTTCAAACCATAATGACAGTGGTTCTTCGGTAAAGACCAATATATGCACGGAAATTGACTTCAGTAAAGAACTACATGATTGTGGAATAGGATATGCTTCTTGTCTTTAAGGTATGGCTGTGGATTCGTTCTCTGCCAAGTACCTCCCGACACCTTCCCAGCGTTCATTTCTGTCCTCACTACCGGGATGTCGTCTCCCAACAACGTCCTCCCTGTCAACTACCCCGGACCCCCCTACAACAACCTCACCCGCTGTTACCCTGCCGTGCATGGGAACTTCACCGACGTCAACTCACTAGTCACGGCGCTGGAGACCAGCAGATACTTCGGGACAGACAAGTTCATCTTCTACAACTACAGCATACCACAGCAGATCAACAAAGTCCTGCTGCAATATGAGAGAGAAGGCATTGTGGAGATGAGGAACTGGAGGCTTCCCCTTCCCCCAGAGCAGATCCACTACTGGGGACAGATGGCGAGTATCCATGACTGTGTCTTCTCCCAGCTTGGAGTAGCGAAATACGTTCTTCTTGCAGACATTGATGAGGTCGTTGTTCCAAAATCCGAATCCACTGTACATGCATTAGCTGATAAACTTCTGACTACGCCAACTCTGAGACCATCAACATCGTACGGAGCCCTGATGTTCCTGAATGCATTTTTCTTTCTAAATGGACACGAGACAACAGCAGAGTTTCTTTCAAAATCCGATGCTGTGAAATGCAGACTGAGTGTATTTTTACATACAAATAGGTCATCTGTGAATCCACCATTCTATCGTTCTAAACTTTTAGTGATTCCTGAAAGTGTTGATGTGTTGCAGATACATTCTGCAGAAACGTTACGACCAGGGTGGATAACTCTTGTGGTTGAACCACAATATGGTTTGATGCATCATTACCGAAAGGACTACGACCCTCAAGCCTTACAGCCATATACAGATGATATCTCTTTACTCCAACATAGCACTTCCATTATACCAAGAGTGAAAGACAGATTACGATCTTTTGAAAAAGCAAAAGCTACTGGACATCTGAAAGAGTGTGGGGGGTGGGATTAACACTCGGGCACTGTTTCATTGCGATGATGTACCAGATTTGTCTTGTGTTGCTAAAAGTTGGGTATATGGAAGAATACGTTATCATTTGTTATGGATTACCATGTCAAACTCAATAAATGTTTGTAAAGAATCTGAATGATGTTTTTATGTTTTGGGTGGCAATTGTCCTGGGTGGCAATTATCCTGGGTGGCAATTATCCTTGGTGGCAATTATCCTTGGTGGCAATTGTCCTGGGTGGCAATTATCCTTGGTGGCAATTGTCCTGGGTGGCAATTGTCCTTGGTGGCAATTATCCTGGGTGGCAATTGTCCTGGATGGCAATTATCCTTGGTGGCAATTATCCTTGGTGGCAATTGTCCTTCGTGGCAATTGTCCTAGACCCGTCGCGTTGAACGCTTTATACAGGAAGCTATAGGGGTAATTTGGTGAACACGGGTATGAGACTGAACCACTATAGATAACTATCGATAGGAATAGAGAACATACACTACAAATGTATGGCAAGTGAGGACATACCAAACATCAGGACTTATGAGAAGGAAACCTTTGGATGCCGAACAAATCTGCAGTCACAAACTTGATCCCGTCTGTATATGGCGATCTGACTAAGCACTACACATTTAAATCAGTTTCTAATGAGCTTGTTCAACTATTATAACTAGTATCCAGTCAACCTTTTAAACTGTACATCTGGGCCCCGTAATACAAAGCTGTCGTAAGCCTCAGATCTCGCAAATTTTCTCGTAGCAATCGTACCTCCTATGCTGTAACATTGACTTACGATAGTCGTAGCGCTACGAGAGCTTTGTGAAACGGGGCCTTGGTTTCATTACCCATGTGCTATTTGTTAATATGTTCACCATAAATCTTGCGTCATCCAGTTATTTTCGTGCTTCGCGACGGGGCTAAAGACCGGATAGTACACCAGTGGAATATCCGTAAATATAGTACTGTAGGAAATACATGCTATGACCGGATTTGCGTACGTACAACGGTATTTCCTAACTTGGGCGTGTATTTACTATAACACTGCACCTTTGAAACATACGCTCATCGTGTATTGCCGTATGCAAAAGAGATTTGTTCATGTATGCTATGGAGGCGGTGACGTGGCCTAGTGGTTAAAGCGTTCGCTCGTCACGCCAAAGACCCGGGTTCGATTCCCCACATGGGTACAATGTGTTAAGCTCATTTCTGATGTCCCCCGCGGTGATATTGCTGGAATATTGCTAAAAGCGGCGTAAAACCAAACTCACTCACTCACTCACTCTACCGATGAAGGCCTGGCTAAACAAAACAATGTTATGCAAGCGGGCAGGTTTCCATTAGGTCACCAGCGAAATCACTTCTCTTCGAGGCTAGTGACTTATTATGTGGGCTAATAACTTCCAGGCCTAGCTTTCCCGCCTGGCTAACAAATTTGGATCGCACCTGTGTCTGTGTGCAAGTAACTCAATGTTATTTGAGGTATGTCTCTTTTCAAATGTATAGTTTCAGTATTCAAAGCAAAGATCTGCATGTCTGGAGACGTATCAATACATTAACATTTTGAACAAATGACTCCCATCCACTCTCTGTTTCCACTACCCCATGGATAATTGAAGCATCCCAATGGGTATTCACTAACCCGAAATTTGAAAGAGGACACGCGTTTCATCATTAAGCTTCTAATATGATGAACGTTTCTATCAGGCCATAATCTTGCATGTTTTAAAAGTGTATTAATTTAACAATTCGGAGAGAGTGATATATAAATTTACAAAATGACCCCATGAAAATACACTAGCCAGTCGGGCCAGTTACTGTGGAGATTTAGTGGCCCGAATGGATTAATACAACCCACGGGCTAGCGGGCCAGTGACTATTTCGCACACTGCACCGCACATGTAATGTACATCGACGGGCAAATACTGAAGCATAAGTTAGTCATTTCACATTCCCTAAAATAATTTATTAAATAATAATAATAAATAAAATCAATTATTAATTAATAAATTTAAAAAAACAAATTCTGTCTGATATTCAATGTCATTGACACATGTTGACCAGTTTAATTTTCAAACATTATAAAAAATATGCATTTAGCCCTGGTTAAATACAGTGATAATATGTAGTTATGTGACATTTCACCAATTAGGAAAACAAGAGATCAAGAATACATCCATCTTCATTTATCTCACCAAACTATGGAACCATTGTGTCTTGGAGAGGGGTTTTATAAGTTGAAAGAACTTGTCCCCGATCCTCTTCACATTGTGAATAAAATATGTTTAAACTAACTAACCATTGTCCGGGAGACTCACAATACGAACGGCTACACGACTGTTGGTGTGTCGTTAAACAATAAGGAATCCGTTCCTCCCAACAAATAAGTTTGTTGACTATGTACGATGCAAATATACAATCACTAGAGTGAGTGAGTGAGTTTGGTTTTAGCAATATTCCAGCAATATCACCGCGGGGGACACTTTACAGTTATTGCAGTACACCTGTCTGTGCAGAAAAGGTTAGCACAGTTTGCCCTACCTCAGGTAGGAATATGGTACACATGTGGTAGTCAGAAAACAATCAATTCATACTGCTAACGTGGCTTTCAACACAAATAGCCCTATAGTAATGGAACAAGAAACAAAAGAAACAATGATGATTTGGGGATTTAACGTGCGCTTTCCGACATAAAGCGTATTTCGTACACGGGGAATACATCCAAGTATTGGGAAGTATAATTGGGAAGTATATATATTTTTATATATATACAGACAGTGTGTTATAGACAAACATCGGACCAACATCCGCCGCCCCCACCTCTCTCTCTCTCTCTCTCTCTCTCTCTCTCTCTCTCTCTCTCTCTCTCTCTCTCTCTCTCTCTCTTTCTCTCTCTCGTAAAAAGGCTACAAAGTTCAATATTGGATCAAATTTACAAAATTTGAGTCATGTGGGTGATATTTAGAAATATAAGTATGGTCTTGAAAAACCAATAAGCATATCCAGGGCATGTTTCGATCTGGTAATACAGTTCACGACAGCCGGCTTGCAATTGTTGATGTTCATCTGGGCGAGGCCTGTCAATATTTTAGGTCTGACGTTGTATTGTTGGCGTTCATCGGCTGTGGGAAGATTCGCGTCAGCAAATTCAATGATGCTCCAACTATTGTCAGTTCAGTCATGTGGCACACTGAAATCGAGAAATGAACGATAGTGTTGGTTGTACACATCTTGGCGAGGTCACCCGTAACTGTCAATATTTAGGTTATTGACTTTGTATTGTTAACGTTCATCTGCTGATGACATTGTGGGACATGATGAAATCGAGACATAAACGACAGTTAGCATGATAGTATTCACCTGGGCGAGGTCACCCGCTACTGTTAATATGTATACATGTATATGAAAAGAAGGTTTCTAAAACCTATTTCTAATGCATCTAACGAGTCTGCCAACGTCAGTACCAACTTCTGTGCGTGTATTCACTAGCTGATAGTGATTACATGTAACTAGACCTCTGTGAGGTACGACTTATAAAGGGACCAACTGATATTGGCGACACACGTTGCGTTGACTATAATAGCATTTTAATGACCTACAATTCATACCATGAGACTGACTATGTATATATTCAATAACTAGTTCACAAATATGTGTGGCGGTGGGGTAACCCAGTGGATAAAGCGTTCGCTCGTCACGCCGAAGACCCAGGTTCGATTCCTCACATGGGTACAATGTGTGGAGTCCATTTCTGGTGTCTCCCGCCGTGATATTGCTGGAATATTGCTAAAAGCGTAAAACTAAATTCACTCACTTTTACTAATACGCTGTGCCAGGGTATCGGATTAAACGTCCTCACCGCAAAGAGGAATTCCCATACTTAAACCTAGGCTTACGATCATTGTAACGCTGAGACCACTTTGTGACATGGGTTCCAGCAGTGTTAAATGCATATAATATTATGTTACTGTATGCAAAGCGGTTGAAATTAACCACTAGAGTTTCGACGAAATACATCATTGAATAGATCTCTCAAAACTGTATGTGAAACCAAAATGTAGTTCTCTATTTCCTTACATCGCAAAACTAGTTAATGTGTATGACAGTATCACAGCTATATTAATGTGGTATGTAAAACCATTGCTAAGTTACCTAATGACTGATGACATGAACAACTATATCCCCTTGTACTCGCATTACATTCAACATTACAACTAACTTACCCTATATTAATCGGCTCGTCCACTTTTGTCGCAATAGAAGCGACAAAACCCTTTCCACATTCATAAGAAATCTCTGCCAAAAGCAGAGTCGATTTTGAGAATCCACATGGTATTAATTCCGCTTGTCTCAAACATTTTCTGTGAATATCGAGAAAGTCCTTCCTTAATAGTATTACGGATTATGGTTAATCTCTGAGACAGGGATTTGGTGGTACATTTGCTGGAACCAGCAATAAATCTCTCATTGTACGGATTTTAATGTAGTTTTGGAATCCAGTACAAAAGAGGAATGGAGGTTTTAGAGTCAAGCCAAACGTTGATAGCTCCGTTGAATGGTTTAGGCAGATTTCTTCCACAGTAAACATACTGGCCTTATATGTGGCATTATTTGATATGTCACGTATACCAAGCTCATTGATCAAACAATTAAGCACTGCGACACTTTTCCGGTACTCATTGTAGTCATTTCAATTTTATCTTCAATTTAATATGGCCAAACACTTATATCGCAGGGAAATGTTTCTTTCAAATCACAGCGTAACTGTTGCACATGAAACGTTTCAGTTCAGTTTGTACGTGTTTAAAGCGAAATAAATAGCAAATCTTCTTAACAAGCATTTACTGATTATTGCCAACAATTGTTTCGCCTTTGCATGTGTTTGTAGCGGAGGGGTATCACATATTCACCTGGTAGTGCATGATATCATCGCGGTTTGCATAGGCGGATCCAGATTGATTGATTGAAACATATTTTATTCAATTAAGAAACGGATTGGGCACAAGTTATCCAA